AATTTGGTAAAAAGTTCGTATTTTTCTCATTTTCCAAAGTCGGTTCGGTTTCGGTATTCAGGGGCGCGGGAACTACTTTCAGACTGGGGGGGGGGGGGGGGGGGGCACCATGATAGAGATCAACCTAGGGTACCCCCAAATTTAGTTTTCTCGCCGGTTTTAGGCCACTTATTTTTCATCCCTTGGCTTTTTCAACAAAAAAGAAAACATTTGCAAAAAAGTGCGGTATTCCGTCTTAACCCGCGCCCTGCTGGGGGGGGGGGTGTTTGAACACCCCCCCTTGTGGTTTTTTGCGAATATCTCAAAAACGGCGGCGCGGAGCGCCGCCGTTTTTGGTACACCTTATTATACATCAATTCTACACATGTTGTGAAAATTTCAGACCAAGGTCATTCAAGGTCAGGTCACCAGGTCACTTGAAGTGACCTCACCTCATAAAAAGTTTCAATGTCCGTCAGAGCTACACCGAGTGACCGATCGCTTTGAAACTTTCAGCGATTGCTAAGAGCAATAGCACGTACAAAATGTATATCTCAGAATTTTGATATCGATGACCTAAGGTTAGGTCAATTTTGCGACCTCCCCATTATAAGTCAATGGGAGAAAATTGAAATGCGCCTCTTTTGGACGAAAGACATTATAAACACTCCCAAACACTGAATTACAAGTGGTTTAGACACACTGAACATGAAAATGGTGTCCGTGACCCCTGTTTATGCCCTGAGGTCATCTTAGGTCACGAATGGTATCTAACAATTTTTCGCAAATAACTTTGATAGGGGCATGCTAGAGCGATGAAAACGCCTTAGATGTGTTCAGCTCGACGATACGGATCGACTGATATGCAACATGACGCTTTCCGGTCAGGTCATGACCTTGACCTGAGGTCAAATTTTCAAGTTGACCTTTAAAGGTCAAGTTATGGTTCATTCGATGCGTCTTGACGAGAGGAACACGATGCCGGTAAAAGTAAGCTTGTACAAGGTTTGGGTCAAAAGTTATTGCAGAAAAACTGTTTCCGAAAAAATCGGTTATTTTTGCAGTTTTTGCCCCCTGCAGGCAAAACCGTTGACGTTAGGTCAAATCTGAGAAAATTACTCAGAAAGGGCGTTAATAGGGCTATCGAATGCGCTTTTCCGCGGCGCTGTAGCTCTATTGGTTCCCGAGTTATGCGCTGGCTTCTTGGAAATTGTCGACATTCGACCTGGAAATCGGCGAAATTTTGCCTTCAGTGACCTCTGGTGACCTGACCTTTGACCTGACCAAAAAATTGACCGAAGTGAATTCCTCATTATTTTTGACGCTCTTTCGAACGCCGCCTTCCGCGTATCGCTACGTGGCCCAGGAGCCGAGTTAGAAGGGGGGGGGGGTGTTCAAACACCCCCCCCCCCAGCAGGGCGTGGAAATCCAGGACCCCCAGCCGGGCGCGGGTTAAAGTTGTGGGGGCACCGCCCCCACGACCCTTAAGTTAGGGGGCAAGCTGCCCCCACTGCCCCCCCCCCCCCGGTTCCCGCGCCCATGTCGGTATTTTCTCATGGTCTTTGTTGGTATTTGGTTTGGTATTGGCAGGGGCGCCGCCACGGATTTTTGACTGGGGGGGACGGACTGACCGACTGAAAACCCAAAAATAGACATTCTTACCGTGGCCTTTTCGGTCCGATGTATTGAACGTTTAAAGCAAATATGCCACTTTTAACATAGGGTTTTAAACTGAAGTAACAGTTTTGTAGCTTGAGCTGAGACAAGAATTAACAAATCAAGAGCTTTTATGGCCCAACGATCACCCTAGCTAAAGATATCGGTATCGATTTTAGGTTTGAAGACTGAAGTCATTCCCATAGACTACACTTTGTCATTCCATTACCGAGGAATCCATTCCCTTACGGAAAAATGGTAGCCAATCAGCATTCAGCTGGTTTGAACTACGTAATACGAGTATGCTTGGTCAACGCGTAATCAGCTTCCGCTGCAATATAAGTAGCCTCTACGAAAGATGGAAATATTGGAAAACAGTTCTTATTTAAAAATAAAATAAAATTCTCTTTGCAAATACCTATCCATTATGTTATTTTCTGACCATTTTAAGCATAAAAACTCATAACTGTGGTAAAACAACTGGTTTGAGGAAAGTAGTTTAGGTATGGCTATAGACCGATTTCCCACCAAGTACCTATACCTAAGTACCTATATACACAGCCGATGTCCGATTCAATTTGACACGGCAAAACTTCCAGTGCTCTATCAGGCTATAATTGCTGATGTATGCCACTAATTTGATCGGTAATGCGTATTGCATAGGAAATGCATATTGCATACCCGCGTGGGAGAGGGGGCGTTGTATAGTAACAATCTCTCTTTTTTGGGTTGTGCATGAATCGGCGCGAAGCGCCGCGAAAATTGGCAAAAAACATCAGGCAAAACTGGTCCAAAATACGGATTTTGCAGCCCGTGTAACAAGCTTGATACCAGAAAACCTTAGGTCAGGTCACCAAGTGAAGTAGTCAAGTCGCCTCAAAGTTTTGTTGCCCTCTCAACCGTATAGCTTATTTCTTAGAAGCTGGAAATTTAGTGTCGTGTGATGCAGAACTGTGGGGTTGTAGCCGGAATCAGTCGGAGTTGATAGTTTCGGCTAGAGTCGGATTTGAAGTCTTCGAAATTGTTCGGATTTTGACTCCGATGTCGAATTGGTTTAAAGTCATGCTCTCTTGGCTGGTTTGACGAAATATATTAGGCCCATTTTCGGCCAGTCGTGTTATACGACACACTTTGATCACGATATCAAAAATCGGCAGCTCCGCGATGACAGGTCGGACAAGAGCTGGAGATTTTGTTGGCCGAGGTGTCAGGGGTCAGACCAATGCATGTAGGCCCACACCCCATATACTGAGTAGGTATGTAAACCTCCTGAACCCTCTCAGATTCGGCACCGTTCTATCTCTTCCATCCTCAGGACAGTCAAATCCTTCTCCTCCACGCCGCAACCCCCCTGCTCCGGGCTGGACGGGCAACTATCACATGCAGGAATGGCTCCACTGGAGCTATAGTCCTTTGCCGGGTGCAGTGAATGCCAGTGGGCTGGGCTGCCTGTTCAATTGGTCGGGTTCAGCCCAATTGTGGCTCACTGGGGTGGCTGCCCAGACCAATGTCTCCCACTAATTCTTTCATCCTTCCGGCTCTGAAATGGTCTCATTGGACAGAAGGGCCTAAGCAAATTTCGAGTATGGATAACAGCCAGTAAAACGCCTTTGGGGGCGACCAACGGAGCGAGCGAGAGGGTGAGCGTTGCACGTGCGAAATTGCAAGGGGATACCTCCAACATACTTGTGCACTGCACCCTACTAACCGGTCCCTAACGATGTGCCAAATTTGAGCGCAATCGGCCTAGCCGTTCTCGAGCTCTGGTCTGGAAGCGGCACCCTGCACGTGCGCACGTGCAGACTGTGTCCCAACTGACTTTTGCACGGTACCCTACTAACCGGTCCCTAACCATGTATCAAATTTCAGCACAATCGGTTCAGCCGTTCTCAAGATCTGGAATCGACCCCTGCACGTGCGCACGTGCAGTAGCACCCCAACAGTAGCGCATGCATATGCATTGCCTAGTGGGTACCTACCCATACATGCCAACTTTCAGCGCAATCGGCCCAGTAGTTACCGATATAGGGGAAGCGGGGGGAGCACCGCCACCTTAAGCATTTCTGCTCACCGAGCTGATATGCGTAGTAAAAACGAAGCTCTTTTGCATTCATGTGAAAGTAGGAATGGTTTCCTACATGTTGGCATAGTTTCCAGCGCTCCATTATAAAATTTCGCTACTTTACAGACATTGAAAACAAGTCCTGCATTTTCCGTCCTCCAAAAAATGTGCGGGTAGCACCGCCACTGATGGCGATGTTATTCACAGATCGGCCTTACGGTGACAGCCACCCTTGGAAGCGTTACTGCTGTCTGAAATAGTAACTCAAACTCATATAAGACACACAAGAGTTGGTTGTTAGTTTGTCACAGATCAGACTGTTTGTTGCGGACAATATGCATACAAAGCATGACAAATTCACGTTTATTTCGAAACATCCAGTGAAGTCAAACGTGAGGTTAAAAAACAGACGACGTTTGCGGCCTAACTAAAGCTCTTCTTCGAGCTGAGTGAATCATCATTGCGGCTTTATCCATTTTGCCACCCCTTGGGGTAGCACCGCCGAGCATGGCGGTGTTACCCCACACACAGTCATGGACCGACAACGCCCCGACAGCAAAACAAGCCGGGACGCGATTCTTCTGTAATTCCTTTCTAAACGAAGAGACACTTCATGCCCTCAAATTTAACGTAAAAATCAAGGCATTTTGACTTGAAATGACCACTTACTTGCTGCTAAAACATGCCAAATGATTACAACGATGGTTTGAAATTCACAAAATGGGCAATTGCGATCTCAAAATCAAATAAATCTTAGCGAAACCTACCTCACGCGGCGTCCCGTTTCCGTTCGAACACCGAAATGGCGGGTGTTTACATTTACAATTCAGAGTTTTGCCGATAGAGAGGATGGTGGTGTTTCCCACATGGCGGTGCTACCCCCGCTTCCCCTATTGCAATTGTTACAAAACTGACACCGCTTCATTTTTCACGTGGCACGTGCATAAGGGGTCACCCACATGCATCGGGAATAGTCCAACACTTGTTAGAAGGAATAAAGCTACCCTACCAAAAATTATGGCATGTAATTCGGTCAAGTGGCTGCTGAGATATAAGCCTCGCAAAAGCGTGCCGGCCGCTCATACTCAGAAATTTCCGTTATCTACGAAAGACTAAGCTCGCTTCGCTCGCTCCGTAATGAGTTTGGGGGGGACGTCCCCCTTCCATTCTGAGAGTGGGGGGACGCGTCCCCCCCGTCCTCCCCGGTGGCGGCGCCCATGGGTATTGGTATCACGATTTTCCGTAATTGACATCACTAGTCGGAACCATAACGGCAGACTGAGCCCAGGACCTGCTGCCACCTATCGGCGATTGTCGGAACCAGAGGCGGCCGACGGTCGAGCGACGGCCTTGGGACTGCCAGTGGCTGCTCAAGGCCATGTGGCTGCTGGAAGTCTGGCGTAGCAGGTGGGAGTACGGAAAGTGGAGACGGAGAAATACGGACGGCGAAGACGGCAGTACGGACAGAGGAGACGAGGTGAGGTCAAAGCGAGGGGTCAGGGAAGGGGTGACACAGACGGTCACACATCTCTGTGGGGATGAGGGGGGGGGGGCTGGCTAAACAGTGTGGTCTTTGTGTGGCCTGTGGGTATTTTCCAGGGTCTCTTTCTCAGCGGCACGGTACCCGGTTGAAGGTATGGCCGAATGCTGAGCTCCAACAGTTGAACAAGCATAGGTTCTGTTCTGTTCCATGCCCTAAACCTAAATAACGATGTTTATCAGCGCACCCAACATGGAGGTAATCCGCTGGGGTGAGTAGGTCACGTGACACATCCCCATCAGTCTGACGTAATCTGCAGGATAGCTTTCTGCCATTGGTAGTTATTCAGGGTTAGGCAGGGCAGGGGTATATCAATATAGGGTCTTGGGTTGGGTGCAGGGTGAAGTGTTGTTGGGTTAGGTAAAAATTAGTCAGGCAGGGCTAGTTTTGGCCGGGCTAGGTCAAGCTTAGATCAGGAGGCCTGAGTCCTGGCCTGGATGGATTATCCTGACGTTTATTACTCTAATGAGCATCATTTCAATATTCAGGACATGTAAAAATGTGATATGGACAGCAGCACACTATATCTAAAAAACAACGGGCACTCGGCTTCAGTTTTCCTGAACGGGGAAGTCCCCCTGACGCGGTTCGCCCCGCTGCGCGTGGGAGAGGGGAAGTCCCTTTCTGCCGTTGGGCGCGACTGGCTGGCGGTTGCCATGGAGACGTCTCAGCTACCAGGATGAGGAGCTCGTCTGAGGAGTTTGGTCTGGTCAAGGCCCTATATACCGGTCAGGTCAGATTTGACGACGTATTTCCTATGTGACTTTTATCTTATTACGTTTTGTTTGGGAGGATTTTATATCAATGAGGCTCGAGCGTGAGCTGCTCGAGAAATGAAAAAAGATTTTTACTGAAAAATACAGGAGAACATGAAGTGTTAAAAGTGTTTAAACCGTTATTAAGTACTTAGCAATTTAAGCTGGTTTATTTATTAAGTATCACATCTATTTAAGATTTAAGATTACAAAACACAACGCGAGGATAGCAAAACTATAATAACATCTGGTGCATGTGACTCCGGATATGGGAAAATCGCGCAAAGCCGGCAATTCAAGCGCTGGCGTAGCCGTTGAAGAAATCATGGAGAGCCAGATTGTGGAAAGTAAAATGAAGAAGAAGCAAAGAATACTGAAGGAGATTCGAATGAATGAATCCAAGTTAAGTTCGCTGATTTGCGACCAAGAATCCTCACTCTCAGAGCTCCAAAAGATAGCAGGTGAGCTAGGAGAGCAGGCGAGTGAGCTATTAGATGTAGTAGAGGCCATCTGGGAAGAGAAGAACAGCGGTGAAGTAGAATCAGGACCAATATGGGACATGTTTCATGGAGTAGAAGCTAGCATTCAAGATTCCGTCAGCATGGCAAACAAGTATATCCGCAAGAAACTGTCAGGAAACCTGTATTGTGAGGAAACAAGTGCGAGCAGTGAAGCGAGTGAACAGCCGAGCACGCAAAAAGAAAATGAAGCAAAGGACAAGGAAAACACGAACCGATCCCAAGATGCGACGGATTCGTCCATCAAGGGTATAAAGCCGCCAGAACTGCCCATATTCGATGGCAGAAAGGGTTACAGTGACTGGAGGGCGGTATTCGATGCTTTCGTCGGCAACTCGAACGCGTCGGCTGAGCTCAAGATGGTCTACCTCAAGAACAGTTTGACCGGCGAGCCCCTACAAATGGTAGAACGATATGGGTTGTCGAAAGCTGGTTATGAGAAAGCTAGAGAAGAGTTGGAAAGAAAGTATGGTGGTCATGCCAGGCGAGTGCGAGCAGAGATAGCCAGCATTCGCAGCTTCCCCAAGATAGGTGAAAACGATACAAAGAAGCTTGAAGAGTACTCAGATAAGGTGACAAGTCTCGTCACCAGTCTGAAGGAAAATGGATCAGACGGAGATCTTTCGGAAGTATCAGCATTTTATATGCTTGTGTCTGAAAAAGTTCACCACTCCTACATCAAGAACTATCAAAGGTGGCTAAGCACGACGAGTCAACAAGACAGCTTCGAAACATTTTCAAAATGGCTAGCTGAAGAAGTCATGCTGGAAAAAAGAGCCAAGGAAGCAACAGCAGCCAGTAGCGAGCAGGATGAGCCAAGACCGAGAATGCGTAGCCACGGAACAAAGAAGACGTACGCTGCCACAAGGCAGGCCAGCCGGCATGCCTTCAGTCGGCTGAAATGTGCAGTGTGTCACGCAGAACACGCGACTGAAGATTGCGCTGAGCTGCAGAGCTGGGAAGTCGCTAGAAGATATGCATTCTGCAAAGCCGAAGGATTGTGCTTCAGGTGTCTGCGTGGCAAGCACAGGGGAACTAACTGCCGCAAGTTTCCCGGCTGTGCTGTTGAGGGCTGTGGTGGCACTCATCACAGCCTCCTGCATGCCAGTGGAGGTGGAAACTCTCGAAACTCACCTGAAGTAGCCCGACCGTCTTACAGGACTCCGACACTCAGCAGCCAGGCCAAGGAATTCATTCCGAGAACGGTCGAGGGCCGCGCTTGTGCTAAAGAAGATAGTGCTCCAACAAGCAGTGCACAGGTGTCCGCGGCTCCCGGTGCAAGTTTTAATACCGCTGCCCAGAGACAAGAGAAGCGAAGTGGAAAAGTCGCGTTTCAGACGGCCCCGGTATTAGTGCACTGTCAGGATCGATTTCTGAAGCTGAACGCACTTTTAGATCCCTGCTCTGACGCCAGTTACATAAGTAAAGCTGCTGCAGACGAACTCGGACTACAAGGAGAAGAAGTCAAATTTGAGCTTGGGACGGTCAATGGCAAGACGGATGTGAAAATGAAGTCAGGAGCTGTCCGGATAGCCTCTACCCAGAGTAGGTTTGAAACGTCCTTAGATGTTCACGTCATTCCCAGTCTGGAAGGAGCCTCCGTATGTACGAGCTGGCAGGATGTGAAGCAGCGTTGGCCACACATGGTAGACATCCCCTTTCCAAAGATGGCTGGAAGGGAAGTGGACCTACTGATCGGTCTTAGCCCTGAGACAATGCCCATCTTTGTGCCTCTGAAGACTGTCTCCGGCGAGAGTTCGAGCCCAGTCGCTGTCCTAACGCCACTTGGATGGACAGCATTCGGCTGCGTTCAAGACAATGAAGATCCTTCTAACCTACAAAAGCTGAAGAGCATGGCAAACGTCGCAAGAACCTTGAGAACTTGCCTGACAGATAAGTCACTAAACGAAGAAATTCAAGCAATGAGAGCGATGACAGATCTGGAGATGCTGGACGTCAAGACCACCGAGACCAATCTTCTGTCAGCTGAAGAAAAAGTGGCTATGAAGAAAGCTGCAAGTTCATTGAAGAAACAAGGAAGTAGATATCAAGTTGCAGTACCATGGCGAGAAAACGAACCGCAGCTGAAAAGCAACTACGAATCTGCGCTGATTCGCCTAGTGAAGCTGGAGAATTCTCTTCATCGTCGGGGAGCTCATCTTGCTGCAAAGTATAACGACATTCTTGAAGAGTACGTGAAGAAAGGTTATATGACCAAAACTCCCACGGCGCAGAGATCAAACAGTGGAGAGGATGAGTGGTTCCTTCCACACTTTCCCGTCATTCGAGAGGACAAGGCGTCATCCAAGATCCGAATCGTGTACGACGCAGCGGCCAAAAGTGAGGGAATCAGTCTCAACTCACAGCTCCTTCCGGGACCATCGCTTTACAGCGACCTGATCGAAACGCTAGTCGGATTCAGACAACATCCTATCGCCTTAGTCGGAGATGTAAAGGAGATGTTCCTTCAAGTCGAGCTGGCGCCAAAAGATCAGAAGTTCCACCGCGTTCTATGGCGCAACATGAAGCAAGATGAAGAACCAACAGTTTTTGAAGCCAAGAGATGGATCTTCGGGAACGCTGCAGCACCATTCGTCGCGCAGTTTGTTCTGAAGGAGCATGCGCGACTCAACGCAGAGAAGTACCCTGTTGCGTCTGAAGTAATCAGCAAGCACGTTTACATGGACGACGAGATCGCATCATTTAAGGATGCGGAATCCGCCATCGGAGCAAGGAGGCAAGTTAGTGAGCTGCTGGAAGATGCTGGCATGAAGATGACGAAGTGGAAATCAAACAGTCAAGAAGTGATGGAAACAGTACCAGAAGAAGACAGAGCCGTCACCTCAAAACACTTCATTGAAGACAAAGGATCAGAATCAACCAAAGCTCTCGGCGTGGTGTGGTCGACAGAAGACGACCTTCTATCACTGGATGTGTCCAAGCGACCGCCGGTGACAGGAAGATGGACCAAGAGAGCTGTCCTGAAGGAGATGGCTGCCATCTTCGACCCGTTGTGCCTATTCGCACCATTCACACTCCGTGCCAAGATGTTATTTCAGCAAACCTGGGACTGCACGATCAACTGGGACGACGTCCTACCTGAGGATCAGCAGAAACAGTGGAACGCGTGGTTCTCCGAACTCGCAGAACTGGAGACCATAGCTGTGCCAAGATGTGTTCACCGCTTCAAGGGTGAACCTGACCAAGAGCTCCATGTCTTCAGTGATGCCTCTGAGCAGGCATATGCCGCTGCTGTATATGTCGTATCCGAAAGCATGGGTGAGAGGTGCTCCAATCTCGTCCTGGCACGTGCCAGAGTGGCACCGAAAGCAAAGAAGAAGACGATCGCCAGGCTGGAGCTCATGGGGGCGCTCTTGGGACTGCGTCTAGTCAAGAAAGTGTGCAGCGCTCTTGGGAAGGAGCTATGTGAGGTCCATTTCTGGTCAGACTCAATGGATGTCCTCTGCTGGATCAGAAACGAAGTTTCTAGGTTTCAAGCATTTGTGGCTCACCGAGTGTCAGAAATCCGTGAGTGTACGGTGCCGGAGCAATGGCAGCACGTACCAGGCAAGGAAAACCCAGCCGACGCGCCGACAAGAGGACTGAGTCTCGAGGCGCTCCGAGGTCACAGGCTGTGGTGGCATGGGCCGGAGTTCCTGGTGGATGAAGACCGTACATGGCCGACAAAAAGACACTTCAGTGATGAAGATTTTGACAGAACCGAACTGGCCAGACGAGAGCAAAGAAACACGTTCGCCATAAGAGCTCCAGCCTCAAGCGCGGAATTACGACTCCTCCCGGAAAAATTCTCTAGCTGGACTAGGTTCATTCGAATCACAGCCTGGGTGATGCGATTCATCAAAGCACTGAAAGAAAAACTGAGAAAACGCCCAGCCAGATGTACTGAACCAGAGGGGCTAGGTCCAACTGAAGTCGATGAAGCGGAACAGTTCTGGATTAAACGAGCTCAGGAAGAGTCATTTTCTGAAGAAATGAAGCAGCTGAAGACAAGTGAAGGATCCGGTGTCAAAAGATGTCGTCAAAGCTCAGTGAAGAAGCTGTGTCCATTCATGGACGAGGACGGCATACTCAGAGTTGGAGGCAGGCTACAGCGCTCCGACTTGAGCTACAGCGCCAAGCATCCTGTTCTGCTTCCAAAGGGACACCCAATCAGCAGACTGATAATTCGTCAGCTGCACGAGGACACTGAACATGGCTTAGGTGTAGAGCACACCTTGGCCAGCTTACGAACGCGCTTCTGGGTGCCTGCTGCGCGGGAGATGATCAAGAAATGCATTCACCAGTGCGTAAAGTGTCAGAAGCTCCGAAAGTCAGCCGAGACACAAGTGATGGCGCCCAAGCAAAGCAACCAAGTGAGAACGCGCTTCCGCGCCTTTGACAAGACGGCAGTTGACTTTGCAGGACCATTCCTGACAAAACAAGGTCGTGGAAAAGTCAGGCAAAAACGGTACCTATGTATCTTCACCTGCCTCCAGGTCAGAGCCGTTCATCTGGAGATGACGTACGGGCTAGATACATCCAGTTTCATTCGGGCTCTGATGAGATTCATTTCCAGAAAAGGCGAGCCCTCAGAGATCATATCTGACAACGGAAGAAACTTCACACGGGCTTCAAAGGAACTGCAGCAGTCCTTTCACGGATTGGACAACAGTCAGATCCAGCGTGAACTTCTGAAGTCACGCACGAAGTGGACGTTCATTCCTCCTGGTGCTCCACACTTCAATGGAGCGTGTGAAGCAATGGTAAAGATCGCGAAGAGAGCGTTGATGAAGACTCTCGAGCATGCTGACCTCTCTGATGAAGAGCTGCAGACAGCGTTCTGTAAAGTAGAGGCGCTGATGAACACAAGGCCACTGACGGTGTTATCCAACGACCCAACTGATGACCAGCCGCTCACGCCAGCCAACTTCCTCGTGGGTCACACAGCAATCGAGATGACAGTATCATCAGATTCCAATGAGGCGGGGGTGAGGCAGCGCTGGAAACGTATACAACAGCTGTCAACAGAGTACTGGAGGCGATGGCTCAGAGAATATCTACCGTCGCTACAGCGGAGACAGAAGTGGCTTGATCCGAAACCTGACATAGCACCTGGTGACGTGGTGTTGGTGGTCGACCCGTCTTCTCCACGAGGAAAGTGGCCGATGGGACGCATAGACCAAGTGATGAGAGGTGACGATGGTCACGTCAGAGTGGCGTCTGTGAGGATGCGAGACAAGATCGTCACAAGACCAGTCACAAAGATGGTCCGACTGGATGTCAGCGGCCTGCTGGTGTAATTGTTGGATTGGGAACAATCCAAAGTGAGGGGAAGATGTTTGGGAGGATTTTATATCAATGAGGCTCGAGCGTGAGCTGCTCGAGAAATGAAAAAAGATTTTTACTGAAAAATACAGGAGAACATGAAGTGTTAAAAGTGTTTAAACCGTTATTAAGTACTTAGCAATTTAAGCTGGTTTATTTATTAAGTATCACATCTATTTAAGATTTAAGATTACAAAACACAACGCGAGGATAGCAAAACTATAATAACACGTTTTATAGAATCGTTATAGTTATTGACGGGGTGTTATTCCTATGTGACTTTTATCTTAATTATTACGTTTTATAGAATCGTTTAAGTTATTGTCAGGATGTTAGAAAATAGCGTTGAATAGCTATAATGTCTCTTGCTGACCCCTGGTTACCTAATAGCAGACCTTATGTCAGGAACGGATAGATTATAACTGTAAGAGATGTCAATCGGATACCAACGTGTTTGGTATAATGAATCCAAGCCATTGTCATCCCGGTTTGGTATCGGGTTTCCAATGATTTGGGATGACCATCACTGATGGATGAACACCACTGATGAATAATCCGCAGCGAAGGAGGCAGGGCCTCACCACGGCCTGTATACTGGGAAACGCGTCCATTTGGACCACGGCTCGGAGATCTGACCGGTACGGCGGGTCGTTTCCACCTTCTCTCTCTCTCTCTCTCTCTCTCTCTCTCTCTCTCTCTCTCTCTCTCTCTCTCTCTCTCTCTCTCTCTCTCTCTCTCTCTCCCTGGCTCCAGTTGCTCTGTACCGGTGTTTCTGCCGACTGAACACACAGACAAGGAGCTGCACCACGGCCGAGTCAGCCGACGGAGACACGACACCGAATTTTCGTTCAAAGCGTGACACGAAATCTTTGCGGCCTTTCTCAACTCTTGTCAAATGTCTGCGACAGGCTCAAGCACCGTTCAAGTGCCGCAGGACTCATGAGCTTGCTTATCACACAGGCTCCTAAGGAGCTCCACTGAGCTCTAACCCTCGCCCGTATAGGAGGGGGGGGGGTCTTACGGACCCCCCATGGTTTTTCGCGAATAACTCGCGTAAAAAGCGGCCGATCGCGACGAAACTTTCAATACCCTCGCGTTCATCAATTTCACACCGACCCTGAAAATTTCATGACCCTGGCCCAAATGACCTTTGACCTGTGACCTACTTTTCGAGACCATGTTTGGCTGAAATCGCGTTTCGGCGTATGTCGGCTCGCATTAGCCGCGCGTTTGCAGTCTTTTCGTGGTTTCAAACGTTCAAACATGTGATATGCTGTTGCCCCCATGCATTAGGGTGGGTGTCAAGGTCACCTGAAGGTCAGGTCAGGTCATTGACCTTTGATGACCTCGGTTCACTTTTTCGAGTTTTACATGTTTCTAGGCCAGTTTTTGGAGCTGAGTTCGAATTTAGCAACCATATGAACATTTACGAAGTAGTTTTGGTGCCTTCGTAACATGTTACGAAGCTGTCAGAGGCGGTTGCCTCCTACACCTTTTTGCGTTGTTCGATGGCCAATCGTCATAACCATTTCGGCATCAGTTTGGACAAGCGTCATTCAGAATAACCCATCGGCGGTGTGCATCACTGTTTGACGGTCGGCAAAACAGGCTGGACTCCATTTAACCATTCTGCATAACTCTTTGTCATTGAGCACAATGTTCGTCATAGGTAAAACACTTTGTCATATTGTCATTATGCTTCGACATTTCACAAAATGGTTAGTCGATGAGCAAAATTCATCGGTACTGTGCGTAAACAATGACTGTTGATTTAAAACTTTCGTCAATGATCAAAATGTCAATGATGTAGTGCTTATCTAGCCATATTCAATGTTTAACGTTAATCACGCATTCAGGGATGAGGCTTATGACAGTTCCAGCGCAATTTGCAACCAATTAACTATTGGATTCCCGATTCCGAAAAAGGCAGTTATACGATAGCTACGAGGAGACTGCCGGCGCCATACCGAGTAGGCATGTAGGTTCTTGAGCGTCGGACTCCAAGCAATTCGATACAAACCACGAAATCGGCCGTCATTATACCCGTGCGATGTCATGGGACAACGCCTCGGGCGGCCGCGCCGGTCGGACTCGCGAGGGAATGGCTGACAGATGGCGAGCCGGGCCCTGCCGGCCGGACACCTTGGTGTTTGGGGCGGCGCTGACTTATCCAGCCTGTTGCTCTGTTGCCTGTCCATTTTTCAATCAGCCGATAACATGTCAGCTACGTCCATCTACATTGTACCTATGGTGCTCATGAACGCTACCGATTTTTATGTGGATCAATGGTCTACGAGTTTCGCCACCTATGCCTCGCACTGCACTGTATAAACGTGGTCATATTTGTACTTCTCTGTAAAGGGGCGATCTGTTTTTAGTTTTGACGAAATGTTATGAGGAATGCCGAAATTAGCATGGGGATGTTTTGGTGAACGACGAAGGGATATTAACGAATGACGAAGCATTTATCCAAATCGTCAAAGGTTTTGCCGGGACTCAATCAGTTATGGCGAATAGCGAAGGTAATACCAACTGACGAACTGTGGAGTGGGATCAGCATTCCGTTTTGCCCATATGCTGAAGGTTTTGCCGGAATGCCTCTCACTGGCGCCACCTATGTGCTGATCGGACGAATGGGTTTTGCTGATTGGCCATTAGAGATGCCACAAATTTGCAATTTCATTACCCGCTCCGCCCCGCAGCTACCCCTTGCCCAACCACAACTACCCGCAAGCTGATTTTGGCTGAGCCGAACCCGCAAAAAACCCGCAATTTTGAAAACCTGCTTTTGCAAGAAAAAAATACAGCTGGGTCAATGCTAGAGCTATATAAACATTACTTGCTTCATTGCTGTGCAGAAAAAGACAGCCAAACAAATAGTAAGGACCTGAAATTGCTATGCTAAGTCCTCAAGAAGTGCACACTGGATAGTGGAAAACGAATAATGCATCAATACATTTGAAATTCCTTTCTGAAAAGAGTTCAGTAAAATTTTTCTCTCACCTTACCCTTCAGCATTAGACGCGTTTACATAGGGTTTGTTGCAAGCTTATATCTCCGTCCGTGATGTTGCAAAAGATGCCAATGGTGCTTAACAATTTACAAAATGATCCCCTCTAAATATTTGAAGACCACTGCAACGAAATTATCGCCAAATTAACGAGCTAGAGCCTCGTCAAATATGCTATGTAAACCGGGTTATTGGCTGAGGATCAAAATTTTACTCTGGCTCCCTCTCAATGTTAGGCTTCTGGAATGATATTGTTATCAAAATGAATGTTGATATAAAAGATATGCGATTTCCAGTTAAAAATAAATAGTGACACGGTGAATAATAAGTATCCAGTCGATCTACACATAAAACAAATCATGCAAAATCCCAGCAAAAACCAACTAATCACCAATGAACCACGCGTTTCTGGAAACATGCGTCAGAAGCGTCACCAACAGCTGATTGCAAAGAATGTAACAGCGACTAAATTATTGCGGCCGTAGTTAGTGCGAACTTGTTGCGAAAACACCGATGTATAACCCGCGCCCTGGTGTGGGTCTGAGCCACCTTCGCCCTGGTGGGGGGGGGCCAAAATGACCCCCCCCGTCTAACTCGAAAACGAAGAGGGCTAGGAAGACGCGGAAAAAAGCAAACGAAAGCCCATAACAAGTACGTTCGAAAGTATTTCGGTCATTTTTTCGCTAAGGTCAATATTGAGGTCGCTAGAGGTCATCATAGGTCAAATTTCAGTGTTTTCGGTGTTGCCGGACATATTCCGCTGTAGCTCGGAAACTAGAAGAGCTAGAGAGCCGCGGAAAAAAGCAATCGATAGCTCTTTTCAAGCTCTTTCGCCAAGGCTCGTCAGATTTGACCTCAGCTCAACGGTTTGGCCTACAGAGGTCATGCAAGGTCAACTTGGCAAATTTCGTTGAAAATGTTTTTAACTATAGCATGCATTCACGAGAAAATAGAGAAACGATTCATGCACCATCGTGCTTGGCTCGTCGAGACGCGTCGAATGATATATAGTTTGACCTCGAAAGGTCATTTTGAAAATTTGACCTCAGGTCAAGGTCATGACCTTACCGAAATAGGTCATGCTGCATATCATTCGATCCGCATTGACGAGACAAACACGATAAACGTCGAACGGAGTCTCTATCTCTATTCAATAACAAGTAAGTGCAGAAAAACCGCTGGTGACCTCTGGTGACCAGGGAGATGACCTAGCGTGACCTCAGCGAGGTCACAAGCAAATGGTTTCACATGGGCTGTGATTTGCTGACCCAAGACACTTCAATAACGAAATATAGGAACAATCACGCCCGATTTAGCTGAAAAACAACTACTTTTCGATTCTCCCATTGACTTATAATGGGGAGCAGCGATGACCTGACCTGACCTTAGGTCACATTTATAAAAAATCCGAGATAGCCATTTTGTAGAGCTGGGTGACATCTTCAAGTACTGTAAATTTTACATAGATCGGATAAAAGCTGTGCCTTTGAGAGAGCTTTGAACTTTTTTAGAGGTGGTGTCAGTTTTGGTGACCTTGTGACCTGACCTGACCTGACCCGAACCCCCCAAAAAAGAACATGATGTAAAAATGTTGAATAAACAGCTATACAAAGTTTCAGGGCGCTAACTCAAGTGGTTTCTGAGTTATCGCTGAAAAACCACAGGGGGGGGCCAAAATGGCCCCCCCCCCACCAGGGCGAAGGATAATGCATATTCATGTGCCATTCTGATAAAGTTATTTTACACAACAGCTAAAGTTTTACCATTTAGAGGTTAATAACCGGTTAAGAAATAAAGAGACAGTAAATACTAAATTGAATGTAATAATTTCATACATGGTCTTGGTAATGTTCTCCGGCTCTCTCGTCATACAAATGATAAGCACGTAAAAAGACAAAAGAAATAAATGCGACCAGCTACGTGGTTTTGTATGTAACATGTATAACTGCTATTTTGAGGTATTCAAAAACCAAGACAGAAAAATTGATTGTAAAATTATTGCGTCATCAATGACAGCTTTCCTTTGCCTCAGAGACCAAAATTGCCGCAGTCAAATGCCAATCCTTGTCAGAATGTCGGAAGTGCGCCAGTATTGT